ACCCTAATTTATAGATTGTTCACTTATTACATTATCAACAAGATAACAATTCATCTGCAACTTATGGTATTTCTGGAGTAACATTTCCAGGTATATTACACAGTATCATGCTTTAAGCACGCAGTAACTTACAATGTGTTGTCCCTCTTGTTTACAGAGCACAACTTGTTGAATTCAGCCCTTCACCCTTGCAATCTGTATTTAGCCCCCATTGCTTTAAAAACGTATTTTTTTCAATGTGAAATGCAATAATATTTATGGGTACAGCGACAATCTAACGCATTAGCAACACCAAACACGCACAAAAATGTCTGGGATGTTTACTTTTGGTCCAGGTCATCATGCTGCACGCTAGCATGCTCCAAGCTAGCATGCTAACTAGCAAACTACCTGCGCTAACGCTAACTAGCTTAACAAAAAGGGCCGTCTTTCCTGTATCGGGTGGGCAGCACAAGTAAAACACCCGGTTATAGTTCCATGTGTGCTTCATTCAAACACTCGCGTACTTACAGAGCAGTGGAGCCGGTAGTCGTGGTTCTATCAGCCCGTTCATGTCGCTCTGCTGCCGTAACTTCGCTTCGTGCTGCGTCCGCTCGGAGCTCTGCAGGCGTCTAAGAACTCGCGCATGCGCGTTACAGATGTGAGCGGAGTTACGTGTTTACAAGTAATGTTTGAACCTGCCCGCATTATTATGTCTTAAACGCATCTTATTAACAGCACGCAGTCCGTAGTTTCATATTTATGACGTTTTAAGCGAAATAGTAAATACGTTGAAATTACGTCTTCGCGTAGACCAAATTTCGCCGACCAGTTCATTAATTATTATGAAAATCTTAACGTTAATATCGTCTCTCTTTCAACCTTACGTTACAACATGACACATTTATCAACAAATTAACGTTTTCTGGCACGTTGATGTTTCATCCCATTTTTAGACGGTTGAAAAGACGTTGAAATGAGGTCTTAGACGTTCAGACCTCATTTCAACCCGATTTCAACCATATTTCAACGTTGAAATTACGTCTTGTGCTCACTGGGTACCTTCTTCGTCTGCCGCCTTTCCACCCTCACAAATATATTCACAGAATCGGTGCTGTCTATATGCTCAATGACGGGCTGGCTGGGCTACAGGGAAGGATCTCTAGCGCTCCCACGTGTTCTTTTTACAGTACTGCAGTGTTGCAAACAGTATGACTGAAGGCAAAGTTAATGTGAACTAAGCAGAGAATTAGACAACATATGTAATTGGTTTTCAGATAAAACTACACTGCAGAGCACCGGGAAATTAAGACGATTAGTTGCACTATTTAATTCATTTTTTTAAAAGTTTATAGTATAAAATGCGAAGTAGAGAATGCTCCTGGGGAAATACTAATAAAACTAGAAAATGCATTTCCTGCTGAAAATGCGTTGGAATGCAAAAAGCTGAAATCTGAACCAAATTTTTTAAAATAGCTGAAAATACAGAAAGTTGAAGGGAATTTGAATACATTTTCTGAAATGACAGATATTAGAAAAGCTGAAATTAATTTGAATTTGCTGAAAATACAGATATGGGAGAAGCTGCGTGGAATTTCAGGAGTGCTCAGCGCAGGCAAAGAGACGCCACCACACATATTGACCGATAAAATGCGGCTTGAGAGAGAGAGAGAGAGAGAGAGAAAACGAAAATAAAGCGGCTCCCCAATCAGGAGCCCGCTCCAGGCGTTCACGTCAAAGAGCCGGCTCACTACTAGCTAGCGCCATGTTTGCTAGCGCCATGTTCTCCCCACGTAGGTCTATGTGTCTGTCAGACTCCGTAGGGGAGGGAGAGTGAGTGCTGGCACGAGCCTGTGTGGTCGTCATGGAGACGGCGCAGCTGCTATTTTCGCGGGCTGATCACAGAGTAAACGGATTTTACCAAGAAACCACACCTCAAACAAATGACATTCAGCGCAAAACAATAACAGCTATCTAAAAAATACGGTGTTTTCACGAGACCCAAGACTCTACCGAACGCATGGATGTGTTTTTTATGTCTGTCCGGTAAAAAATATGGCTCCTGTCGAAGTTTACAAAACGTGTACCTTCTGGATTTTTTGAGAAATGTCGGCAGATTTGTATTGGAGCCTATGGGGCTTTTAGCAGAGGTTGTGTGACTGTTGGTCTCCGTAGGCCAAAACTAAAGAACTCTGGGATTCCACGCATTAATCCAATCAGCACAACCATGCCCTCATTAATCTGAAGAAATGAAGCCTCTAGAGTGTATACTTTGGCTGCAAGGACAGAAGTTCCATATTTTTTTAACCAGATTCTGGTGCTGCCTCACACTCTAGCCCTCGAGGTCCCCACTCTAGCAGACGCAATACACACTCATGTAAAAGTCAGAAACGGAGCATAGAACTAGTGAAACATAATCAGTGATTATGAAAAAAGTACAATAGTTATCCACAAGCAGTTTTTTTCATAAAATAGTTGAGACCTGTGTCAACATTTGAAAGTTGAAATGGTGTCTGTAGCTGAAAGATTGGCGGAGCTGAAATATCTGAAAGTTGAAGAAGTTTAAGGAGGATTTGAAAACAAACTCCATTTGAAAACCATGTTAAAATATTAATGATTATTGATTTATATAAATTCAAGCTTAAGAGGTAGAAAGCTGAAAAGTCATAGCCCTCAAGCCAGAAAGGAGCTGAACATTTTAATATTTGAAGGATTTTAATAGCTGAAAATGTGAAGGAGTTGAAAGGGGGCGCGGAAGAAATAGAAGATGAAGATGAAGAACTAGAAAATGCATTTCCTGCTGAAAATGCGTTGGAATGCAAAAAGCTGAAAGCTGAAATGAACTTTTTAAAATAGCTGAAAATACAGAAAGTTGAAGGGAATTTGAATACATTTGCTTGAATTATAGATATTAGAAAAGCTGAAATTAATTTGAAATTGCTGAAAATACAGAAATGGGAGAAGCTGAAAGGAATTTCAATAGATTTGCTGAAAAAGCAGAAATGAAAAAAGCTGAAATAAATGTGAAATATTGCCAAACAAAACAGTTGCAGGAGCTTAAATGAATTTAAAAAAGTACAGAAATAACAAAAGCTGAGATGAATAAAAAGAGGTTTAAAATTGTTTGTAGTAATAGTAGTAGTAGTTATAGTTGTAATTGTGGTATTAGTAGTACTAGCAGTAGAAGTTGGTTTAGTGTCAATAGCAGTAGAAACAGCTGTAATACTAACACTATTAGCCATAGTAGTATTTGTAATAACATTAGTAGTAGTTGTAGTATTAATAGCAGTAGAAATACTAGTAGTATGGTAGTAGAAGTATCAGTTGTAGTACTAGAAGTACGAGTAATATTCGTAGTGGGACACAGAATGCTTGTTATTCAAACTAAGACATTTTTAATTAATAGGCCTCATCACAAACATTACAGTAAAAATTCCCTCCATGGGGCTTTTATTTTGAAATTATTGGATTGGGTGGGGTGGGGGGGTGTAGATAGAGGGAGGGAGGGTGAGAGGGTGAGGAAGGGAGGGGTGGTGAGGAAGAGATAGAGGGAGAGAGAGAGGAGGAGAAATAGACAGACTGACTGGCTGATTAACAGTGAGTAGAGGTCAGGGGGGAGGGGGGGCTAGTGTCTTTATCATATTGGTCTGTTGACAGAAAGCATAGCTGCGTCATGTGACTCCACTAATCAGGTCATAGGAGCAGCTGTGAGTCACAGACAGAGATCCTGCAGCGTGTGAGCGAGTAACCACGGCAACGGCGCACCTGTGCTCATTAACGAGCTGCTGCAAAGGGCAGAGACAGGTCAGCGAGTTACACAGAATCCACACCTCAAACAAATGACATTCAGCGCAAAACTATAACAGCTATCTAAAAAATACGGTGTTTTGACGAGACCCAAGACTCTACCGAACGCATGGATGTGTGTTTTATGTCTGTCCGGTAATAAATACGGCTCCTATGGCAGTTGAGAAAACGTGTACCTTCTGGATTTTTTAAGAAATATGTCGGCAGATTTGTATTGGAGCCTATGGGGCTTTTGGCAGAGGTTGTGTCACTCTAACACTCCTTGCGCCAAAACTAAAGAACTCTGGGATTCCATGAACGCATTAATCCAATCAGCACAACCATGCCCTCATTAATCTGAAGAAATGAAGCCTCTAGAGTGTATACTTTGGCTGCAAGGACAGAAGTTCCATATTTTTTTAACCAGATTCCTGCGCTGCCTCACACTCTAGCCCTCGAGGTCCCCACTCTAGCAGACGCAATACACACTCATGTAAAAGTCAGAAACGGAGCGAAGAACTAGTGAAACATAATCAGTGATTATGAAAAAAGTAGAATAGATATCAACAAGCAGTTTTTTTCGTAAAATAGTTGAGACTTGCGTCAACATTTGAAAGTTTAAATGCTGTCTGTAGCTGAAACATTGGCAGAGCTGAAAAATCTGAAAGTTAAAGAAGTTTAAGAGGATTTGAAAACGATCTCCATTGGAAAACCATGTTAAAATATTGATGATGATTGATTTATATAAATTCAAGCTTAAGAGGTAGAAAGCTGAAAAGTCATAGCCCTAAAGCCAGAAAGGAGCTGAACATTTTAATATTTGAAGGGTTTTAATAGCTGAAAATGTGAAGGAGTTGAAAGGGGGCGCGGAAGAAATAGAAGATGAAGATGAAGAAATAAAGATTCGAAGAACAATACTTGGAATGCATCGTTAATGCATTCCAACAATAAAGATTCAAAGAACAATACTTGGAATGCTTAATGCATTCCAACAATAAGTTGAAATAAAGATTCGAAGAACAATACTTGGAATGCTTAATGCATTCCAACAATAAAGATTCGAAGAACAATACTTGGAATGCTTAATGCATTCCAACAATAACAAGTGGAGAAAGTAAAGAAGAAATTAAACTTGAAAGTGGTCACATTTTGGATGTGAATGAAATAATAAATGTTGGTGTACACTGTTTACATCTATTAATGCATTACATTTTCTGACAAAGACAATCGGGCCATTTAATAGTAAAAAGCTGTTTAATTGCAGAATATATTGACTGTACAGTACAGCAATAAAAGCACTGCCATATTGCTCCTATTTTACACGACTTACAAAGCTGCTGTTCAGCTTATCCAACAAAGTACAGTACATACGGTACATACAGTAATGATGAGAAACACAACATACAGACGGGCCCACAGAGCGCTTCACTGCCCATCACTTCCCACTGAGCGCTGGCTATGTTGATTAACAAATGCACAATAATATAAATGACCATAAGAGCAAGAACAAGGACAGTCAACCCCTTCAGCAGCGATGTCCTCATCACTGGGGCCAAAAGGGGGACAAACCGAGGTGCACAGCCACAAAGCCCGAAGACAAGAACAAAAGAGAGGGATAAAAACCAAAATAATATGGATTACTTTGTACGTACACAATACATACATAACATGGAATGAAGACGCTGTCCATGGTCACCCATTGCTCTGCGAACTGGCCTCCTTTATGACTTGTACCTGCGTGCGTGTATCACACGAGTGCTGTTGCATTTCCCTACGAAGCTTCAGTTTGTTAAACAAAGAAAAAAGAAAAGGGCTCCACAGCAGCTACCGCAGGAACATGGGAGTGGACCGGTCGTCGGTCACCGCCTTGCGGAGCCGCACCCCCCGGCGTATGGTCACCAGCATGTCCGTGTCCTCCTCGGTCGCGGGGGACGGGTCCCCTGGTAGAGGGCTGTGGAAAGGGAAGTGGCCCTCGCCGAGGGCGTGGGCGCTGGCGGCCAGCTCCCCTATCTTCTCCACCAGGCTGTGGCGGTTGCCGGCGAGCAGAGGGTCCTCCTCGGAGCCGCGGGGGGCCACGCTGGGGGCCACGCTGGGGGCCTGCTGGCCGTAAACGCTCCGGTCCGCCCCCCGGCAGCCCCAGCCCGCGCCGGGGAGGCTCATCCGCTTCGAAGTGGCCCTGGTGTAGTCGCCACCGATCGGGTCGTCCCCGTAGAGGAACTCCTCGCTGCCCGCGCGGTGCTGGGACGGGCCGGCGCGGCCCGGTGAATCTGGTGGCACTGCTGGGGTTTTGACCGGCACAATGGGCGGCCTGATGGGAATGGGGCCGGACGTGGACGCCGTGCGTCTCACTCCGGTTTTCGACGACGGAGTCCGGCGAATGGTTGCCGTCCCCGAGGCAACGGCCCCGGCGCTGCTCCTGGCCGCGCCGTTGGGAGCGCACTGCAAGGCCTTACCTGCCGGCAGACCCGCCGTGCTGGCCGGCCTCTTGGTTTGGATCATGCGGCGGTAGCTCTGAGCGATGTTGCTGTGGCGCGGGATGGTGGACGACTTGTCAAAGTCTGCCTGTCCTTCGCGGTCAGCATCGCCGTTGAGTGAGTAGCACTCATAGTCCGAACCTGAAAGTGACAGCACCTGCCAAGTTACTCAATCGCATCACGCATTCACATCAATCTGAGCCGTTGAGAAGAACCAAATGTGTTTTCGTCCCGATGGACGGAGTGAGCACTACCTTGTGAGGGTATGGTGTCCTCGGAGCAGGAGGGGGTGTTGGTCTGGGTGCTGTAGCCGCTGGAGTACTGCAGCGAGTCCCTGCTGCTCTTCTGCTGCTCCATGCTCAAGCCTCTGGTCAGAACCATCGCCAGAGTGCTGGCCGCCGGGGAGAGCGGCTCCCCGTGCTGAGGAGCGCACACAAAACACAAGTAGGAAGTACATATAGATTAGCACACATGTACATATTCAATTCATCGCAATAGTGTCGAGGCATACAAATACATTTTTTACTCACCTTGGCTGCAATGGTTCCCGGGACGGTTCTCCCTCTCTGTGGCTCCTCCGGCTGCGTCCCAGAATACCCCAGCGGACTGGGCGGAGCATCCGGCTCTCTCATCTTATCCGCAGACTGCCTCCTACGCTGCAGAGTGGTGGCCAGTGACGGCTCACAGGATTTGGCCCAGTCCTACAGCAGCAGACGAGACAATGAGACTGTCCTACGATTTGTGCACCTGGGGAGTTTGCCAGCCGACAGTTAAAGCAAAGAAGCTGCTGATTAGGACTCGTGGCCGGTTAGATGCAAGTGTCTCAGTTTTGCACATCTTAATAAAACTGAGCTTGATGAGCAACAGGAAAATGGCAACTGTGAGGGTTAATCCTGACGGGATCAGTGAGCACGATGTGCAGCAGAACACAAGGAAGCGAAGAAGCAACAGTTTTAAAAGAGCAAACGCAAAAAGTAAAATTGCAAAAGAAAAAACAAACCTTCCAGCTAGGAATCTTTGATGTGGGTGAGGGGGTGTTGGATCCGAGGGAGTGGTTAAATGTAGGGGACGCAGGAAGTATGACAGAGAGAGGCCTCATGGTGCCAGTGTGAGAGAAAGCAGGGCGGAAGGTACCGAAGGATGAGCATGAGCCAAACTGCAGAATGGACAGAGAAGTCTGAGTGAGAGTGCTCAACAATCATGAATAGTCAACGATTCAGGCTGTCAAGAGGAGCCCAACGGGCCTCTAAGCCATAGATAACAATGAGTGAGATGCAAAGCCCATCGCGTGCGTGTGCACGGGAGTGTGTGTCTGTGTGTGTGTGTGTGAGTGAATTAAAGCCAGTCGAGGCCGGTAAGATGCATGTAGTACCAACCACTGTGGGAGAGTTGCACTCGCTGATAGACTGGCAGGTTTCTGAGGCCTCAGAGGAGGCTGAGCTCATGGATTTCTGGGAACGGGAAGGTGGGAGTTAAAAAAGGCGCGGAGGGGAAGAGTAAATGGGGGGGGGGAGAACGGTAAGCGAGAGGGATGAGAGACTTTTTAGACTGGTGGGATAGAAAATTCAACATTTCTAAGAGAGAAAGCTCCGCAGCAAAAAGTAGATGAATGAATGAATAAAATGGGTTTGGTGGTCGAGCTATGAAGCAGGGGTCATTGTTAGGTTCAGGTGATTGTTGTTGTTTCTGCGTCATGCTAGCTTGCAGCATGACCACCTGGGGAATCTCGGTCTGCTTAATGCAGATAATGCCTTAATGCCTGGTGCAGTTGACCCGGGTCAAAGCATACGCTTTAGTAAAACGGCTGAGACTACTACCTGGCTGGCGATGTCAGAGGGCATAGGCGACGGAGGCTTAGACTGGGGGTTGGCGTCCTGAGACACGAAGCCGGAGTCGTGGGAGGAGACACTGCTGAGCCGATGGGCACCTGCAGAGGGCATCTGGAGGATGCTGTAGACAGGATAGCACATCGGTATAAAACACAATATGTATGGAGGAGACAAATCAAAACAGGGACAAAAGTCATTTGTATTTTCTTTATATTTACGCATCAATGTCATGGTTTAAATTTTGCTTCATATAATAAACTGACATTATACCTTTTAAACCATTTGCCTGTGACATGAAATTAAATGACAACACAGAAGACAAAGCAAAGAGGCGTATTTATCTACATCGAAATAGGATGAATCATCCTTATCAAAATTAAAATACTCAACCCTCCGATCAGATTGGGATTTTCACCATAGATGGACGCCATGACAGACAGCCTTTCACAATAAAAGACTTCCCTGTGGGTCACCCGGTTACAAGGATACTACCCATGCATTCCAACACCCATGCTACCACAGAATACGGAAAATATTTTGTATATTTGACATCAGTATTTCTAATGTGTCCTTCGTGGCATGCTTTTCTGGCGATTCTGACCGACAATCCTGCAGTATAAATAGTATAATGTCCACTAATCCAATGTCCAAGTATCGATTTGTTGTGTTCACCTCTTTGGTTTCTATATAATCATTACATTTTAATATGGCATGGAATAATTCAAGATGGAATAAAAAACATATAGCAAAAAACAACAAGCAAAGAGATAACTGTCCTAATAAAATACAGTACGCGTTTTCATTCAATTATGCATAGAAGGAAAAATATATTGCAACATGCGCAATTGTTTGATTTATGTTAATTTGCACATTGTAAATCATCCATAATAATATATAAAATATATATAAAATATAAAATGATGCATGCTAAAACTTTACGTTTTCTTCATGAAGCTTATTATGGAAGATTAATAGTCATGGAAAATAGAAGAAAACGCTTAAATAAAATAAGTACCACAAAAGCAACCTGAAGGTGATCTGAAGTTATAATTTTTCCATAATATTTGTCCTCTAGGATGAAGCTTAACGTGGAATGGCGAATGAATTATGACAAATTAAACACACTCAAACGATTCTTTACTCAACTCTGAACTTATGGCGGGATTTTGTACAGACCGTTGTCTCTTGATCACAAATATGTTCTTAAATTTCCATATATCATGCATATCTCATTACCAACATCTGAATGAAGAAAATACCATAGCCTTCAGCTTATCAAAAACCTTTTACTCAGTAGATAAACAGATACGTCTACATTGGCCGGGCTGAGACCACGGTTGTTCCATTTGGGAGAAATAACCTTTGAACCAATGGATCTTAACCTCACTCAAAACATAACACCGGCAGATGTAATAATCAAAGTTTGTGTTAAAATCCATCCTCTCAACATTTAGTCAGTCACTGTACCGTTGATTAAAATTGGCCCTCAAAAAAGGCTTTTAACTGGTATAAATATCAGAGAGAGAGGTTACCAAAACAAGTTGATAAGACAATTTAGCATTGCAGACTATTACATGCTAGAGAGCACATTTAATCAACATTTATAGATATGTCTCTGAACGATCACAATTAGACTTAGACGTTTCTCAAGCTAATCTGGCTGTAAGAAGCTTGAGAATTGCAAATCTACCAGGTGCAGGAGCTGAGAAGCTGGCACGGTACGCCTGCACTCTATGTTGATTGTCACTGACAGCCTGGATGTGTGGTGAGTGGGGGGCGGGGGGGCACCTGCTCAACCCCCAATATTTCATGTCCTGCGTGAATAAGTGAGTTGAAGTGAAGAAAGTGCCTGTATGTTCACTCACCTCCCATCCATTATGAAAACTATTGGCATTAGCAGCGCAGCAGACACGGCACAAACTGAGCAGAGCACAAAGAGCCACAAAGTGTGTGTGTGTGTGTGTAGGACATATACCTGCACATGCTGCTCTTCCTGGAGCCGTTGCTGCTGGGGGAGGAAGGGGGGGTCTGGTAGGACCAGCTGTAGTCGGAGCCTTTCAGGTCCCGGACCACCTTCGGCAACACATAATCATAATACGGTGAAGATTTGCTAGCAGCAACAGGGTGGAGATTTTGAAAATAATATATACCTGTAATTTAGCCACAGAAGAAGTTATTTCTTAATCTGTGTTGTGAAATATATTTATATACATGGCTGTATATTTCAATTTGTGGTGGAATTGTAGTGTCTATTTCATACTGTCACTTGAAGAATATTATCAGTAGCAGGCCGTAACATTTCAGATCTGACCAGCCGTAGTATTGCACCCGTGTTACCTGCTCACTGGCCAGCGGCAGCTTGTGTGGGTCTTCCGTCAGCACAGTGAGGTCATCGACAATTGGCTGCAGGTGTATTATCTCTCCCAGCATGGCGATCTCCAAATTCTGGAGGGGGAAACAGGCGGTATTTAACAGCGAACACGTCAGAGCAAAACGTCCTATTTTACCTTACAACTCCTAAACGTTCCTCACCACCACAGGCTGCAGCAGGTTGATGAATGTACAGTAGCGGCCTCTCTCCTCCAGGAGCGCCCTGCGCACAGCCTGCTTCTCCGTCTCCTCCATCAGCAGATACAAGTCGCTGACATCTTGCATGGCGCTGTCCAGCTGCGGGCGCAGGTTTCCCCGCCCTATGCAAGGCAACGGAAAGGGTGCGTGGGAGAGAGGAGGGGAGGGGAGAGGAGGGGGGTAGGGACATTAAGGGGCAGATAATAATTATGGAAATGATATCAAGGGAGAAAGGTGCACCCATTTTCAGAGGCGAGGAGGAAGGAGAACAAAATGAGAGATGATTAGAACACATAATGATAAATTGCCTAATGATAAATTGGGTTCAACGCGCTCGCAAACACCGGAATGAGAGGACGGCGAGAAGCTCCATCAATCATGACATGAAGGTCGTAAAAATGGATGTGATTAGACAAGCGGGTGTAAAATGAATGTCTGGGAGTGCTTCAAGACTGCAAACAAAACCGACACCAGGTGATGGATGAAGAAAGGCAATAGGATGCAATGATGATGTGCACTGAGATGCCACATTCTTCTGTCACTCTAATTGAACGATTGAGACAGACCTTCAGTGCCAGATAAAAACACCCTAAAAGACATCTTAGCATATTGGGTGAATCACAAAAAAAGCAGTCCCTTTAATTACAGTGAGACTTGAAAATGCAAGTGAGGAATATAGTTTGGAGTGAGTTCACACATTGTTCATAACTCCGTGGATCATAATCTCTCGCGCTTTAAAAAGGGTTGTACCATATCGCGTAGGTTAAAGACATAACTTTAATCTGCTTTAATCCGTCAGGTCACCAGCATTTAATATGACACTGATTTAATTAAAGGGATCATAAGGATCTGACAGTTTTCCCAATTAATAGGCTAACTTAACTTAGCATAACATCTGGAAAGACAGCGAGCTGGAAAGTTAATCAACGGAAAAACACTTTGTGTCGTCTGCACATTTGTATATTGATTTGTTTATGGATAATGTTAATTATTCAATAACTTAGAGAAGCTGGTAGCTAAACAGCGGCTGGCTGCACACATGAGCGTGGTTTCAAATCTTCACATCCAACTCTCTGCAAGCAAGAAAAGAATTCTGAATTTTGCACCCGATTCCACTATACAGGGTTGTCTTTGTCTGGCAGTTTTATCCAAAAATGATGGGACGCCTTTGAAAACTATCTCATGAAGCACAGCGGACGTACCTAGAAGCTCTATAGCCAGGGAAATAGCCCCAAAGAAATAGAGGACGTTGCAGGGGAGAGGTGGGGGAGAGAGGGGAGGGAGTGGGACAGAAGAACAGGCAGTGTTAGCCGCATCAAAACAGGGCACATTGCATGTTTATGAGCAGCCCGTGGCACCGGGGTGGATCCTGTATGGTAATAGGAGTTTAATTACGTGCAGCCGGGAGCGGCTAACGCGAGCACAGCCAGAAGAGACGATTATTTATTTTATTTATACGCTAGAGGCTGACAAATCATTCGTCGAAGAGCTTTTGAAACGGGTCCAGGTGGTCGTTTCTGATTCTAATCTCTAGATGGCGCCAGTTTATTCTGAACCACAAGACCGGACCAGGGAACAGTAGCCGAGCAGATTTAAGAGATTAATGTCAGCCCTTGAATCTCAATGTAGTAGTAGTGTAAATTATTCTGTTCTCTTTTTCTCACCTTTTCTGGCTTTTTTCTGGAGTTTAATGGTATCTAGCGACTTCCTCTTGATTTCCTGGCGAGACCGCTTGTATTCTGTGGACAAGCCAGTCAAAAAAAAAAAAAAGTGGATTTAGATTTACCTCCAAAAGCACAGTGCTCACAAACAAGCGCTTATAGTTTGCAGGTTGTTCACCTTTGGCGTGGTCTTTGTCCAGCTGATTTGCCGTCTTCTTCCATTCCTCTATTCGGTCCTGGAGTGGCGTAACCAGGCTTTCCATAAGAGCACTATAGAGAGTTGAGGACATTGTGGTGTAAAATAAATAGCTTTGTTTCCATGGCAGAGAAGAAAGTTAATTAGAACGAGACAAGACCTGGTGGGGGGGGGGATATTAAACCCCCCTCAAGGCCGGAGAGGAAAATGCAGTGGAGGGTGAGTACAGAATGTCCAGGTGACGCTTACTTGGTGAAGTGGCGTAGTTTTGTCTCGATGCTGCGGTGTCGCATGCACATCCTGGTCAGAGCTGAGCCGATGTCCCTGGTGGCACCTTAGATAAGAAAGAAACAAATTGTCACCCACGATTTAAGACGTTCGGAATTACGAATCTAAAATATTCCACGTGGCCTAGAAAAATATAATTCTCCATGGAAGAGACATAACGCATGAAAGGGTCTGATTCTCGTGTGCGTCCCTGGCGGGGGGGCGTCCCCAGCTGCAGCCACTAGGTGGACCAGTGACAGTAAAAGCAGAGCCCATAAATGTCACGTTTGTTTGTCAGAAAGCAGAATGCGACACAGAAAACTACCCCCACCCCCCCTCCCTCTTTTAACAAAACATGCATTTCTCCCTTTGACAATTGCAGGTGTGATTCTCACCACAGGGTAAACTACGGCTCGTGTGAATCAGTTGTTGTACTCAAGTGTAATTAAATTGGGGGGGTTTCAGCCCCTAAAGCCCGGGCTGGCCCACTGTCTCTGGGATGGTTCACAGGCAGGTGTAATATGTGGCAGCGGTGATCCGCTTGTAATCTGGGCCACATAGGGCTAATCTGAGGAGTCTCTCGCTAAACAAACACACACACACACAAGCCTCTCAGCAGCAGACAGGTCTCATAGAATCGAGGCACACAGGATTTCGTTTGTGTTCATTGATGTTTTTGGAGCATGTGCACAAGTGTGTGTGTATGTGTGTGTACAGTGAGATGCATGTAGTGGTAAAATATGTTATAACACTGTTTTGTGCTAAAGCCGTGTCTCAAGTGTCCTGTATTTGACCCTGATGTGCAACGAGCAGCATGATACAAAATGTTGCTTTGCAGCTGTGTCCTGAGAAGGGAGGACGGTCGACTCGATCTCATAGAAGCTTCAAAACAAAGGACTTCTCTTCATGGCCTTGGTTCATATCTTATTCGGTACGAAAGTTCCGGATCCAAGTTTTACTTTCATGTCAATTAATTATGATTTGCACCGGCCACTGAGGAGGATCTTGTGTGTGTGTGTGTGTTACCCTCAGCTTCACCTGGGTTCTTATCTCAACCTGCTTTGCAGCTTCTCGTAACTGGCACGGAGAATGTCTTTCACATGTGTATAAAAACTCGCGTTTTTACTGCTCGGAGACGTCATTACACCGAGCGCTGAGATACGTGCTGGTGTGTTGGACCTCCTGCTTAGCAAGCAAGCAATAGTTAGAGCCAGATATCTGTGGAGAATTGCTCATGTAATCTTTTTCTCTTATAAATAAATGTTAATTTTTGACTTCAATTGATGAACGTGCTGCGATTCTTCTCATCAACCAACTCGGGGGGATTGGAGATCCTGACAGTACATAGACAGGTGGTGTGATTTACCACCCTCCTCTCCGCCCTTTCCAAGGTCCTCACGCCCTCTATCCTGGAGGAAGAAGGAGGGAATTCTGTAAGGGAATATCCCTCTATTCTTCCATGGCTGCTCGGCCTTTCCTGTTCCCTCTGTTTGCTAAAAACAAGTGAAGCAGGCGCGGACAGAGAGAGAAGGAACCTGGCGGCCAGAGAGAGTGATGCGGCCCTTTCAAAGGCAACCGACCTGCACTCTCTCTCAGAGGCAACTTTTCATCGGATGATGCAGAATAACTTAAAGGTGCCCCGGGTCTGCATTGCTTTTCTAGTTGGCAGGGAGAGGGGCGGGTTGGAGGTGAGAGGTCATCCAGCTGTATCGCTCGCATCGCCCCCCCCCGTTCCTTCTCCTGTCCAATTCACACCTGCCAATTTCTCTTCCTCTCCCGCCTCGTCTTCGTCCCTCCCGGAGGGAGGGGGTCAGCTGACAGCCACATCCTGGGGAGGTCCAGGGCCTCTGGCCTCCGGATGGACGCGGCTGAAGTGATTTACTCCCACAGCCGCCTGCGTGCACTCTGGCATGTGACAAACATATAAACGAGCAGGGAGGACAGTTTCGTTTTTATATTTTGTAGATTGCAAACGACGAAAATATCCATTCCATCCCGTTTTGGTCTCACTGAACATTTTTTCTTTTTTTGGCCCTTTAGTGTTGTTCTCTCTAATGATTAAGGATGTGATGCTTTTATTACAGCTGGATACTTGAATTATTAGCAGCTTGAAACGTGGCTGGGAGCTGGTGAAGGGATTATTTAGCAGACCTGGACCCGGGGGGCCTTCTGGGGAAGCGGCATCGAGCGTATAGCAGACATCCACACGTGCGTGAATGAAGAAAAACACAAACCAGTTATTGATCCCGGCAATACGTCTTAAGTAACGGAGGAAACAACATCACAGTAACGTGTCGCCAGAGCCAATGGCACCTGGTTCAATACATTTAATGAACATGAATATACATTTCCGGCAGGTGGGCTGCGTACGCTGAGACGTTCACAGGGTTGTTGTTGTTGTTGTTGTTGGGTGGGTGAAGCCCTCACTGTCGGGTTATTCTGTGATATTGGCACAGTGGGGTCCCGGTGTTTTGGTGCGTGGTTCCATCCAGAGCTCTGGTTCTGATTATCGAGGTGGGAGGAGCGTTTTAATAGGTCTGCTTTATGGGGAGCTCTCCTGCCAGGAGCCCGGGAGCTAAACTGCCACGGGTCTCATTCCCTGATGTCTTCAACATGGCAGCTGGGCTCAACCGTCTCTCCCCTTTCAGCCCCGAAACCGAGCGCGCGCTCCCTTCTTTCCCCTGCTTCCTGTGTCAATAAAGCATGTTTATGCGGGCTGCAGAGCAACAAGGTACAGAACATCCTCCCAGTTGGACTTCCAGGAATACGAAATGTGGGGCTGCTTCTGCTAAGCTCTTCTGCAGTTGCTGCTTAGCAAAAAGGAAAAATCACCAGCGGAAAATCACCAGCGAGACCGCAGTTATTCCTCACGTCGTCGGGGGAGCCGACCGCGGCTGGCAGGGCCTGTGAGCTTCCTGCCTTCGCTCGCTCCCTCCCGCCCCCCCCGGGGGAAGTGCTACCGAATGTGCACTGGCACCGACACAGCGGAGGTCACTGATGGATGAAAGGCGGCGTGCGGATGAGACGAGGCGGCGGAGGAAGAAAGGGAGTTTGCACGCTGCCGAGAAGGCGGAAGCGTTGGAGGGCGGCTGCAGGTGCGACGGACGCCGCTCGGACAGAAGCCCTCCCACATTAGGCCCAGAAGACGTGTACTATGATTGATGACATTTTTCCAATATTATGAACATCTTCAAATAGTTGTGTTGATCTTTTCAGGGGGGGGGGAGAAAACCAAGAGGAAAACAAAAAAGAGAATAAGGAGGAATGCTTTGACTTTCATTTCAGCAAATACGCAACTGCGATTACTGAGTTCAAGGACCTGACAAAACATTATAACATCTTCAAACCTTCGCTTCAAAGAACAGCTGGAGTTCAGCGTTCCTCACGGGGAGCAATCAGTCAGTTAAAAAATAAAGCAGCGTTCGTCTGCTGGTGAGGGAGAAACCGCTTCTGATGGAGCGAAAGGAGACGATAAAAGAGCCGATCACGGCCGTTGATTGTGGAACAAGAGCAGACTGATGTGCTCCTGCAACAAGATGGTGAACTCAAGTCTTTGGAGAATGTCTCCAGAATTTATGATCTAAACTGTAATAAGTATATATTTTAGATACTCATAAGGAAATAAGCATTTTAAAACATAACTAGTTCAAGATTGTAATAAAAAAAACACCGGATTCATGTGAATATTTAATGTTCTGACAGATTGGGGTGATGCAGTGAGTTGTTTCCTACTAGGCCATCGTTGTGTGTACTTACTAAACTAAAACAAAGACTAAAAAGGCGACCAGAACAACAGTCAGACGCACACTCAACCCATTGTTGTCTGACCGGTGAGCACAGCGAGGTTCACCTCACAACAAGAAACACCGGCGGACAGAACTCGCTGTGTCCTGGTGTGGTGTAAACATGAAGGAGAGGGGCGGGGGGGGGGGGGAGCTTCCTATTCGGTGACATTAATGCTGCTAGAAACAGAAAATATAATGCACAGGTCCTCATCTTCACCTCGCCTTGAGAGGAGGACGCCTGGAGAGCCCATGTGACATTACCCCTGATATTCAGCCCCCAGAAGGGATTAGTCATCTTCACCTTCTTGGTGGAGCACGTTACCATGGTGACGGGTAAACACCAAGGACAGCTGATGCCGACCGGAACGTCATTAGTTTTGCACCTGACGATGGCGCTACATGAATAATGAGAGATTAGAGAACTAAATTATTAAAGTGAATGTTGCAGGGAACATCATTGCTTAAACTAACTATCATGGCGATCCATCCAGTAATGTTTCTCTATACATCCCAGTTCGGAGTGGCAATAGAGGAAAAGTTAAGACGATTCCTCCTCTGGGGATTACGAATGCTTGGACCAAAGGGGTAGACTGACAGAGCCATGATGATATCATGGGTAAAAGGCAAGATTTAGGCAAAAAAGTGAGCACATTAAAAATAATAATCACACAATCATGAATTGGGACTGATGATCCTCCACCGGTCTCAGTAAATGTATCCAGCAGTTTCCAATCAGCCACCTCGGCGGATTAAAACTATGCATGTGTCTCTTTCATTACTCATGTGACGTCCTTTCTTCTACTCCTCCGCCAGGCTCACTCCGGTCGGTGTTTTCCCTCCCCGGCTCCCTTCCTGACTTTGTGTTCTGGACAGAGCTGAACGGTGTTACGATCAAGCCTCATGTTTGTCTGCTTAGTTTGCCATTTCCCCTCCTCGCAGCGAGCGGAACAAAATTGGTTTTATTTCCATTATTATTCCCTCTTTTTCCATCTGTTCTTCTCATCATTGCTCCAGCCACTTTGGCCTTTGCGTGTGGTCACTAAAATAGCTGCGAAACATTCCTTTTCACTGCGAACCACATTGCGTATTGAAGTCAATAACCTCCGGTGAGAGATGGAGGGCTGTTTTGGGAGTTGTTCCTTCAGATGGCGTTGGACAGCTGAGGGAGAAATAAGAGGCCTTTGTTCGTGCAACTTTATGGCTGGAGGGGGGTCGTGAAATACCTGAGGCGCTTCGCATACAAAAGGCACAGCTGACCATAACACATCCTTCATTAAAGAGA